ATATTTGAATCTTTTGACCAGAATCATGGGTTAACTCCTTTGGAAATATGCAAATTTGTCAACTGTAGTAAAATGACACTTTTACAGTCTAAAAAGCTTCCGTTTAAGAAAACAACATCATCAAATGGAAGAGCAAAGATCTCTTTTACAGAAAAGTAGGCTCGAACAAATATTTGGAACAACTGACCAAAATATTGGGGTTAAACCCTTCAAGAAATATTTTAATTTTTCAACTTTAGTCATATGACATTTTTATCGTCTGAAACGCCTCCTTATGAATGGACCACACCAACAAATGACAAAACCAAAGTTTCTTATTCAGAAAAGTAGGCTTGAAACATATTTACAGAGAATTTTTGACCAGAATCATGGTTTAAGCCCTTTGGAGATACGCAATTTTTTCAACTATATAAAAATGATATTTTTATTGTCTATATCAAGCCTCCTTTTGAGAAAACAACATCATCAAAAGTCAAAGCCGAGGTCTCTTTTACAGAAAAGTAGTCTGGAAAGATATTTGGAACTTTTAACCAAACTCAAGGGTTTGGAAATATGCTAATTTTTCAACTATCAGGGACGGATCCAGGATTTTTTTTAGGAGGGGGTGCACTCGTCTCTTGCTGTACTTCAACACCAATAGACCACATAGTTTTTTTTTTGCAGAATACCAGTTCTATTAAAAAACCGCAGGTCATCTCGGAGGGGGGGGAACCCTCTGCAACCTCCCCCAAGATCCGATCCTGTATATAGTAAAATGATATTTTTACCGCCAAAAAGCCTCCTTTTGAGAAATTAACATTATCAAAAGACAAAACCAAGGTCTCTTTTTAGTAAATTAGGCTCGAAAGATATTTGGAATTTTTGACCTGAATCATGGTTTAACGCGTTTGAAAATATGGAAATTTTACAAATATATTGAAGGGACATTTTTCTCCTCTAAAACGCCCCCCTTTTGAGGAAACGACATGATCAAACAACAAAATTACAGTCTCTTATTCAGAAAAGTAGGCTACAAAAATATTTATAATTTTTGACCACAATCATGGTTTAACCCCTTTGGAGATATGAAAGTTTTTTAACTATAGTAAAATGGCACTTTTGTTGTCTAAACAACCTCCTTTCGAGAAACAACGTCTTAAATCGATAAAACAAAGGTCTCTTTTATAGAAAAGTAAGCTCGAAAGATATTTAAAACTTTTGACCAGAATCATGGGTTAACTCCTTTGAAAATATGCAAATTTGTTAACTATAGTGAAATGAAATCTTTGTCGTCTTAAAAGCCTTCTTTTGAGTAAACAACTTCATGAAAAGTAAAAAAAAAAGGTCTCTTTTACGGAAAAGTAGATTTGAAAGATATTGGAACTTTTTACCAGAATCATAGGTTAACCCCTTTGAGAAAAAGAAAAATTTTTCAACTTTAGTTTTATGTTTTTTTTTATCGTCTTAAAAGGCTCCTTTTGAGAAAACAACATCATCAAACGACAAAACAAAGGTATTACAAAGAAGTAGGTTCGAAAGATATTTGGAATTTTGGGCCAGAATCATGCGTTAACCCCTTTGCTAATACGCAAGTTTTTGAATTAGAGTAAAATGACGTTTTAATCGTTCAAAAAGCTTTCTTTTGAGAAAACATCATAATGAATTAAGGACAAAACCAAGGTCTCTGTTACAGGAAAGTAGGCTCGGAAAATATTTGGAACTCACCAAAATCATGTGTTAACGCCTTTGGAAATATGCAAAATTTTTGAACTATAGGAAAACGAAATTTTTTTTCGCCTAAAAAGCTCCTTTTGAAAGAACAACATCATCAAAACACAAAACCAAGGTCTCATTTTAGTAAATTACTGAAATTATGGAGATCGAGGAGGGTCGGTGTGACACCCTCCGAGATCTCCATAATTCTTCATATGATACGAAAGCCGAATTCAATAATTGTTTTATTATTCATTCAAAATAATTCCTAGTTTAAAAACGCTAGCTGAAACATGGTTACCTCCATCGATGTTAAGATCATCTGCGATAGTGCATGTTTAGGGTTGTTCAGCTCTGCACATATTCTCCAAATAGAAGATGTCGCCCTTCGAGTTGTCTTCTTGCTGTTTTTGCCATGTTTTTAGCTATAATTTCGCCTAGTTCTTACTCTTGAAACGAGTGAAATGTCCCGCATTTTTGTTGACACAACCAAAACAACTCGAACTCGTCCCCAGGTCTTCTCGGTTAACAGTGCATTTACCGGCAAGGAAGCTGCACTTTTGACGTCATCGGTTGATTAATCGCAAAATTCTTCCAAATTTGGTCATCAGTAGCTGGTTATGGTCAATTATGCAAGTGCTTTTAGCCCATCAGAATCAGGAAAATATTTTGAATGATTAATAACTAATGATTATCCATCGATTAGTCCGAATTGATTACACATCTCATACAATTTCAAGCAATTTTGTTTCTTAACTTATTTCCGGTGATAAAAATTTACGTCAGTGGTTCTTGGCGATAGTAATAGCCTTGCCAAATGGTAATTGAACTTGCCATGACGAAAACAGAACGGCAAATCAAATTTATTTATTGGACATCAGTAACTGAAATATCAAAAACAAAATATTCAGAAGGTCGAGTTATCTGTCTTACTCTCTTGTCTATTGGAGTCTGTGTCTTTGTCGAGAAACGCAGCCACCATAGAGTGCCTACCGGATAAAAGATCAGGAATAAATAAAGTGTATCGTGACATTTTTGTCAAAGAAGTCTGCTTCTTCAAGTTTTCGATATGGTATGGTTTGCCTATCTGCGAGACTATATCGATAATTAATCAATGACTAATCGATGACTGAAAATTTTGTGACCTATTGATTATTCATCGATTACTCATTGAATATCGGATATAATTAATGACTAATCAACCGATTACCCATCGATTACCTTCGAGATTGGAAGCGGAATATTGAATATTGAATATTGAGTTTAGATTAGTTTCAATATTTGAAAATTTAGTTTGAACATGAATAAATGTACTTGAATAATGAACCTTTATTTGTCCAGAAAATTCACTTATTCCTTTTAATTAATGTATGAAGATCAAGTGAAATATGCTCAAATAACCTGAGATAATCATGAATGCAGAAACACGCTGCTTTCTATTGGATTGTATATATAATTTACACTGATGAAACACTGTTTTGTCATGTTTTGACACTGTTTATATTTTGTTTTTATGTGTCTTCTCACTTTGAAAATCAGTTGGGGATTAGCGCTATCACACTGGGCCAATGTTTGTAACCAGGTCCACGGGCGTAGCCAGCAATTTGGCATACTGGGTTCCTAAGATGGTATTGTTGTGAGAGGCATTGGGTGAGGGTACATGTCCTCATATGGCGATTTCTTGATTCTGGTCACAAATTTCTAATAATGTCAGTGCCAAATGTACCTAGAATTTCTGAGAGAGGCTGCAAATCACGCTTCCTGTAGAGATGGTTAAAAGTGCGCCAGTCAGTAGTTGTTGAATAAATAACATACTTCAAAGACTGTGGTCTTGTAATGGACTGTTCACTCAGCTGGCATATCAGCAAGAAGGTGGCGCCTTGTATGCTTCCGTGCAAAAATGCCGATTGTTGAACTAACGGCAAGAGCCTACTGTAACGGATGTTTATCAGAGTAGCCTGCATGACAGGCGCTTTATGAGCTCAGCGAGGTTGAACGGGGCTTGTCCGTAAAGCGCTAAACGAGCGCAGAGGGTGATACGGGGGGAGGTCAAAGAATAAAGCAAGTCCAAACAATCGCTCGCTGGGCATGGCAACTTTTGCGTGTGTTTTCAGTCGGGTCAAGCAAATTCATACCCCTACCGTGGTACAGTGGGGGGGAGGGGGGGGGGTTGTGGATGGAACCCCTTCCCGGAGTTTTCGATATGTTGCAGTATTTTGAAACGATGTTACCTTTAGTGGAACGCCTTTGATCTTCTTAACAAGATGAGGTATATTGTATGGGTAGTGGCACTGCGGGAGGCCTGTGACGTCACTAACAATGGTCGCCATCTTGGCCGCCATCTTGCATTTTACCAACAATTGGAAATCAGGTTGAAACCGCGAAAAATGGTAATTTTTTGTGCTTTACATGAAAAATAACACATAAATAAACACTTTGCGTGATTTTAGCCACAAGATTTACTTTTATTGTTGAAAGAAGTTGAAAAAACATGTAACTTCAGCCAAAATTGGCTTGACCACCTGCTATTTATGACGTCATATCTCGTAACCATAGCAACTGACCATCACTAAACTCGTCTCAAAATCTGCGCGAAGGATGAACGAACAGCTACTGAAAACGTCATATGCTGATGTTTTATCCTCTAGGAAAAAACTCAGAAAAACCTTATGGGAGGGGGGGGGGTGGCATCCACCCCCCCTCGTACGACCGAGGGTTAAATACCAAATACCACACGTAATGGGCTGTTCACCTTGCTATTGCCATCTGTGTCCCAGTTCCAGGTAATTTCCTCTAACTGGTTTTCAGACAGCCGCTTACTTGACAAAGCTTCTACTGCTCTCAGTTTTGTTGGTAGGGTTTTCAATAGAATTTTGTACAGCCGTTGTAGTCTCCATCTTAAGTTCCCTACTTACAGGCGTGACGCATGGTAGGCTTTCCCGGGAAAATTTTGATTTAAGAACTCTGTGGTGGGAGTACACCTAAAGGAAACTTCATGTACATGCTCTTCATGGCCTTCAACTATGTTTCGCGTACTAGCTTAGCAATGTTGTCTTGTATTTTCGGAGGGAGAGAAGCGACGACCGGAAAAGCGTCTGGTGTTCGCGGGCTAAGTTTGCAGTTGAAGTTGTTTTTGCTTATTATTTTACATATATCTTCAACATTTTTTTAAGGCACGCGCTATGCATATGCATACTGCCCAGTATGGGTAACTACACCCCTAGTGACCCTTACAACCAACACCTAGATTTACAACAAGTCATATTAAGTTTTTCTTTTCATTAGTTTTAATTCCTTTACTAGGGAATCATAGTCTTACTACACCTTTTAATACTATTACACATCATCCTCCAAAAAAATGTTCTGAAGGTGGGTATTACGTTTGCTTTTGACTGTCTTTAAGTTTTAACTTATAATAATTCCTAATAAGGCCTCACTGATTTTAATAAAAATACATGAGATTTTGGGATTTCAAGGCACTGTCACTGCAGTGTAATCCATTTTTCTCATTCTGCCAGTTTCTCATCATGAAACTTAACAATAATAAAAAAATTCCTTTTAACAGACAAAGTGACATCTTCATTAAAAATAATGAGTTAACATCTCACAAGTATCATACTTACGAACAACGCATAAAACCATTTTGATAAACTTAAAAAAAAACCTGTCAGGTTTGAACTTGGAAATTACGTAATGTGTGACAGCTCCTTTAATTTCTACCCCCTTATACTTTAAACAAAAAGGTCCCTACATTGTTTATAACTGTCCAATTGACAATGATTTTGTTAATAATATTAATTCTTATCAGTATTTTCCTATTTTCATTTTTAACATGCAAGACTAAAACATAAAAAAATAACTATCACCTAAAGATTACGTTTCACATCAAACACTGTAAACCGTGTACACTAGCTTCTCTGATTGGTTCTACCACGAAAAACATTCCTGACATTTCAAGTGTTCATGGATTTGCAACAAAAAACATACTACTTATAACTACAAAAGCATTTATATAAGTTAGTAATGCTAGATTCCTGCAGCTACCTTGTTAAAAAATGTGCATGCACTTGATGTGTAATTCAAAGAAAATATTCATCTAGGCAAAACGTCTAAGAGGCAGATTGTTGAAGAAACATACTTCTTTGTTTTGAAAAAATTCATCCAGAGGTTATTGACACAGGTACAGAGTGAGGAGATTATTAGTCACAAGTCTGTTAAAAAAGAAATGTACTTTCCGTTAAAAAGGTAACTATAAACCAGAGCATGAAATAATAAACATTATCATTGGATTAAGTTTTTGTTATATCTGGAATAATCAAAAACAAGGTAAGCGTTATCAGTCAGGCTGAAGGCTGGGGCTGATAACATGTACTGAGACAAATATACATTGTTAATTGAAGAAAAATCGGAAATCATGCATTGTGCACACAACCTACAGATTAGTCACTTATTTCATAGCAGACACATGTAACTAACTAATCTGTAGGTTGCGCTGATTTCCAAAATTATCTGTACCCTCTTAGCCAATGAGAAGACAGATAATGCATACAATGTATAATAATAACTATTATTATGCCTAATACAGGTGCCGAAAAGCCTTTAGTTAGGTTTTTACATTGATGACCAAAATTAATCGAGTAATTATTAATCCACGGGAAGGAAGGTTACAAGGTACAACAGAATGGCGTCCATTGCTGGCTTTCAAATTGTGGGGGATTGGGTGTGAGTTGGTACAGTCAACTCCCGATAACTCCAGCCTTCAAGGGAAATCACAAAAAGTTCAAGTTTCGAGTTATCAAGAGTTTGGAGCAACTAACCAGAAATAAGGAAGAAAAGATTTTTACTGTAGAGTAAACTTTTTAATCATACTATTATTTTTAGTAGTAGAAATGTCAAGTGAAAATGGAATGATACCTCTAGATTATGATTCAGAAAATGGTATGGACTGCTTGACACTTGAATGGCTGTATTCATTTTTTTGCAGTAATAGCCTTTGTAAACACCAAACCTGGGGCTTTTGTGAAGTTTTTTTTTGTTCCGGTTTTAGACTAGGAAAGTCTTGTGCAACTAAATTCCATAACACAATGCATGTATACTCAAACTCAGTCCCTAATGGTATGAAAGCCAGCAAAGAAATGAGAGAGTTAACAGAGATGCCAACCTCTGGAGACCTAAAATCTGGAGACTATCTTTTTTTCACTACCCCACCTCCCGGATTTCAACGGAGGCCCCCCCACCCCCCCACAAGGACAAATTGGCCCAGCCCCAATGGGAATGGCTCAAGACATTATAATGAAGTCTTACATGAGGTAAATACTATCAAACTTTGCGACCATCGTTTTAATGCCGAAATAATCATTGTCAGTGACTAAATATGGGTAAAAATGCCCCAGAAGCGTTTAACTGTACTACGAATAAGAAAAATTCAAATTTTGAGAAATAAAATGGCCTAAATCTCAAACTAAAGCACAGAAAATCTCAAAAGACGATTGATTTTTATCTGGGAGATTTGGTGACCCGTACGGGGGAGCAGGAGGTCGGTGCTGTATCCGGAAGACTCCTGGATAATCCAGGAGAGTTGGCATGTACGAGTTAATTGTTTGAAGCAGCACCATAATGGTACTGCTGGAAGGATGTCTGTTAATTAAATCATTATTAAACAGGGGTTTCAAAATGTTTTGAAGTAGGTGGCCAACTGTGGAAAAGTAGGTGGCTGTGGCATCAAGATTGTTTGTCATGAGCTGATTGTTATAAATGACCAGAGTAGCCAGCAACACACAATCAAGTAGCCGGTGGAACTCCACCAGTTGCCGGCTTGTTTTGAAAGCCCTGTTATTATCAATAACTGTTGATTTTAAGTGTACTTACCTACAGTCCAAGAGGATCATATCTATTTTGTTGGTTTCTTCTCCCATTTGTAAGTATCACTGTAAAGAAACCCACTATCCTTGATCAGGGTATCTGACTCAGCAGGACCTCGACTGAAAGGAAAGAAAGAAAAACAATAACATCGCAACGTAGTTGACCAATCAGACCAATAACCAGGTTTAATACCATCAACCGACATGATACAATTTACTTTGACTCTGAAGATGACTAACGCACAGGTTGTTCAAAATGTCAGTCACTGTCAACAACAACAGTCCTATTCAGGACGACGGTCACCTGCATGATCATACTCAACCTGCTCATAAAATGACTCCCGGGTTCAAACCTTTCACAGCATTACGAGAGGTATGTGATGGAAAAATTATCTGTTTGATAACTTAGGATGCTAAGTTCACATGAGATATCCAAGCTCTTGTAGCAGGGTACAGGCACAAATCAGTGTGTTCACACATTACAGGTACCTCGTTTGTCACTGCGCACACTATTGGTCCATTTAACTCAGACCATCAGATGTCAATCAGCATAAATGGGAGTTACATGAACAGACATGTAAAGCAAGGAGATTTAGGTCAAGAACATAAACATGAAACTCTACCTTCCAAATTTATAAGGAATTGGCTTGATCTTTTCCCTTTCAATCTTGTGCAAAAGAGGAGTAAAAATCCTCCAAGCCTCAGCAAGTTCATCACTATGAAAACAGCAAAAATGTAAGTGTTAAGGTCGTGTACATACACAGTACTTAGATTTCAACATAATTTATCTACTCTAGACATGCAATATAATGTAGTGTACAAAATACAAATTATACACTATAATTGGTGATTTTTGCTCCGATGAACTGTTTTTTTTGTGAGAGACACAAAAGCCAGAAAATGAACAACATGCTGAGCTGGTGACAATAAGGCCATTTATCTGACGAAAAATAAGACGTGTCTTTTATTAGATGCATCCTAAATAAGACACAAACTATCCCATATAAATGGCACGTAAAGATGCGACTGAGGAAAGACACGTCTTATTGAAGGACAGGTGTTACGGGCTGCTAAATTTCAAATGAAATGTGCCGTTTATACAGGATTTGAGTCTTATTCAGGACACATCCTTTGTAAGATTGGTCTTATTTTTTCTCGTTTAAACGACCCTAATGTTGAAAATCACTGATTTGTCCCGGTTTACAGTTAAGTCACAACCTTGCATTTTGGCTGATTTGGTATAAAGCAAGGTCTAGGCTGGAAAATAAACTACCCCAGGTATAGGAAGGGGACTGGAAGCAGATTTTGCTTGCCAAAATACCAAATTATGGCTTCCCAGTGAGCCCATATCCATGAAAAACAGCTCTGGTATATCCCTGGGCAAAAAAAATAAGTTGACAAGAATAATCACCTTCTGACGAAATGACTCTGGTTTCCAGAAATAACATCCATAATGAGTCGTTCATACGCATCTGGCATCTTCACATGCTGTAGTCAAAGAAAAAAAATGTCAAAATAGCCAGAAAAAATAAAATAAATTAAAACTGAATCACTGGATAATGCAATTCTAGAGCTCTGTTAATTGGCTTAGCTATCACGATATTTGAGCCATTGTACCATGCTCTCGAAATATGATAACTGTATGCGTCCACTCAAAATTAAAAACAAGCTGAAAATTGGTTGTTTTTACAAATAAAGTCGGGAAGAATTCTTGATATTTTGTGGGCGTTTTTAATAAAACATTATTATTTCACTTGCGTTTGTTGGAGCTACACACCTCGTTGGCTTAATGTATCATCTCATATCCAACACGCACTTGTGAAATAATTGTTTTTAAAATACCACGCAATGTCTAATAACACCTTTGCTTCCTTAGATGTCCATTTTAGAATTAAGGTGCTCATTATTCCACAAAAGCTGGCATAATTCCCTCCCCAGGACATTTTTAGACTGAAAAGTTGGAAAAAGAGAAATGCACAAACATTTTACTGGTAACTTAACAAGAACAACAATACATGGTAGAAAGCTGGTGCAGTTTTCTCATGCTGTTATCAATGTCGGAAACATCTGGATGTTCTTCGGGTGATTTTCGGAGAGTATAATTCAGACATTGTCAAAAATGACATTCTTACAATGCAAAAGATTTCTAGACGTCTCCAAATTTTTGGTCTCTGGGGGTTCGCAGGTATATATGTAGAGCTGTGTAACAGAGTTTTCACTACCTTGTATCTTTCAGAATAAGTTAAGTCCAGCTCTGATTCATGGGGTTCAAAAGACATTCCTGCCTCCTTGATCATCATCTTCACATAAATAGCCTGAAAAATTTTTAAAGGGGTAACAAATTACGCATTTGAAAATATTGTCCAGGCTCTAAAAAAATAAGGGTGACCAGGGCTAATAACTTGGGAAATCCAAGGATTCCCAGCATACAGTATGATTTTCATGACAAAAACTTGCTGTCCAAGAGCAAAGTAAAGGTAAGGTGCTGTGGACTAACATGAGCTGCCAGAGCACAGCCTTTGCTATTCAATTTAAATCAATCATATATGTACATGTAGAACCATTAGACTTGGTCTGCAGCTGTGGGTGTCTCGAAGCTCTGCTGGATTCTTCCCAACTCCCCGGCTAAGAGTACAGCTCACCCCTCATCTAACCCTTTAAGCCCCAATATCCACATACAAATTCTCCAAACTGATCTGAATATTTTTTAAAGAATTAGTTGCGAGAAAGTGCAGAAAGATCAAAGCTTTTCCCTTTTGGTGATCATTTTATCAATTCTCATAACCTTTTTCCTTCATTATATACTGATATTGTTCGGAGAAAATTGACATTGGTCATTCTTGGGACTTAGAATTGAGCCAGACAAAATTTGTGGAGCGTTAATAAAATAAAAGACATCAATATTAAAGTTAAAACAGGTTTCAAATAAATAATTATTGTAAATAGTAAAAAAACAATAACAGACAAAAAGTTGACAACGCTTAGAATTCTTCCCCTGAGAAGTTTCATGTGATAATATGTTTTTTCTTTGCATTACCATGGCATCACAGAGAAGTGCCTTTACAGTATATCAACCCAAATGCCCAGCCGGGAGGTAGGAAAATATTTTTTGAGGGTAAGAGTGGCCACTTTTAAAAACAATAAACTTAAAAAACTTACCTCATTTGGTTGAAGCCTGACAACCAACTCATTACGTTTGCATCTTCCTTCAAAGATATCTCCAGGGGGATCAGTAAATTGAATGCGCACCTCAACCTTGCGTTCATTGAGTGCTACAGAAAACAGTAATATTGAAATAAAAAGTGGCTGCTTATACATATTTTTACCAGATTGTCTCTAAGCTACCGCAATTTGTGTTTTATTATAATTATTCAGGGTTGTCAGAAAGTTTTGAAGTAGACGGCTGAGTTGTCAAAGTAAGCAGCCAGTCCAGGGATATTTTATTTCAAAAACGTCACCCGTAAAGAAATGCTAAGCGGAGTAGCTGGCTGATACTAACCAAGTAGGCGGCGATTTTCGCCAGTAGCTGGCTACTTTTGACAACCCTGTTTATTTATTATTTATTATAATTATTATATGTCCTCTTGCTACCAAGGACACTAAGACTATAAAGGAAGTTGCCTGTACCAACACGCTAAAAAGCAGACCAGTAAATCAAGATGAGTGTCAAGGAAAATATTTTAATACAATAGAAACAATACCTTTGCCACACTTGAGGATGAATGGCACACCTGTGTAAAGACAAAGAGGTTTATTAACAGTCCGACTGATCTGAAAGATGGTTTAATGTACAGTAGCATTACACTGTACAAGCACTTCTCTGACCTGACCCATAAGCACCCCCACCCCCTCCCCGTTAAAAAATATCGATTTGTTCTTCTCCAGTGCCTCATATGTAGTTATACAAGTGCCATGATTCCACACTCTGCTTGCACAATAACAAACTGGAACCCAAAATTCTGCTTGGTACAAGTTGGGGGGTTTAATTATTTCAGGCAGGCTTTAAATAATCATAACCATGTGACAAGCTGCCATGCATGTTGGTTATTATTATCAGAACAAGATGATTATTTTTGCAGGATGTTTAGCATGAAAAAACGTTCCTGCCAGAGGGAAAGGCTTATTAGTTTTAGTCAACCAACATTGCTGCTATGAGGAACAAGAAAGAGTGCCTGGTAGGTCAAATACTTACCGTCCCATCTTTCATTGCGTATGTAAAACACAGAGGTGGCAAACGTTGGCGTGATAGAACCTTTAGGTACACTTGGATCGTCAAGGTAACCATACTTTCCTTCATCTTTTGCTTCAGGGTTCCCAACATACTGTCCAAGGACTGTAGTTTTTAATTCAATTGGTGCAATACTTTTAAGGACTTTCACCTGAAATTAATATAATGATAATGATCAATTTTAACAGTGGACTGTTAACTCTTGATCTTTCTTTGGTCTACAGCCTTTAATTTATTTATCTCCTTCCCAGGGTCCTCTGGATGTGTAGGAAAAGAGCCTGAGAATGAGCTACATGTACATGTAGCAGTCTCATGTCTGTAGATCCACAACTTTGCTCTGGCCCCAGCTCACGCTTTCAGACCAATTTCTCATGCCAGGCAGAAATTTTAAGCTATTCTTAGGCATTTTTATTAACTGACACAATTTTTTTAAAATTGTTATCAGTGGCAATGTGACAGTGCTGTACCTTTTCATTACGGAGATCTTCTGCTCCTTTGCTGGCAGGTTTCTCCATGGCAACCAGACAAAGAACCTGAAGGAGATGATTCTGCATCACATCCCTAAAACAACATAAACCAAATTAAACACACTGTGGAAAATAAGAGTTTGGGAGAGAGTAGAACAGTCAAACCCCCTTACAATAATTATTAATGCGGACACGGAAGGGACAGACCCAGTTGTCCACATTACAAAATTTAAGGTGTCTGTACTATGGAAGTAGATGATCATTGTACAGTTCTGCCCACCTACCCCTCCCCTTAGCCAACATTTGGAACTATAGAGTGAGAAGTAAGTGTTAATGTTGGCTTAGGGGAGGGGTAGGTGGGCAGTCCCCCAGAAACAATGATCTCCGAGGTAGGGAACGTGTGAAGTTTTGTATTCTTAGGACCTGCATCACTGTCTGTAATAGAGATTATTATAATTATAATTATTTACAGGGCAAACCTGATTTCCTGCATTAAAGAGGTGTATGTACCAAAGAGTTAGGGATGTATGAGGATTGGTTTCCTAACTAGGGCCTACATTATACTAATAATTATATTAATAAAGAGGTGTGAGTATAACAGATCATAGGGGAGTAGGGAAGGTTTCTCTGTATTAATTTATGATATGTTGTCAGTAGTTAATTTTTTATCCCAGGTAATTTTTGTTTTTCATTTGTTTCAACTTCATAAGCATACATTACCATACCCAAGAACAAAAGAAAAACAAACATTATGAGGGATAAAAAATTAACTACAGCTTACAGATACATCCATACAATACAGTGAAATAGGAAAACAAGACTTGAAGACAGCATGGAGTGAGAGGAGTTGTTGGAAACCTGGGTGGGGTAGGAGAAAAGGATTAGGAAAGGCAAGAGAGATGGTAACAATAGGAAAGGAAACTAAGGGCGCTTTACAAAATTAATAGGTCAAAACCGGCCGGCCGGACCATGACTGGAGCAGTCATTTTGACAATGAAGTAGGCTTTTCCCAAGAAATTTTGCTGAAAAACCATCTCCTTTGTGCATAGTATTTAGGATTTGAATGATCTGGTTGGATAGTTTTGATCAAAAGTGAAATTCTCATTACTAAGGGAATGGTCTGGCCGGTCAGTTCTGACAAATGGAAAGCACCGTGTAAAGAAAGAAGTGTCTGATAGTCTGGGGCTAGTGGATTTTGCTATCAGGCTAGTGAATTCTGTTTTTAACTTCCCCGACGGGCAAGTGATGTTTTTTGAGGAACTCGAATAACAGAAGAACTGTGGAATCAATTCTGCTAGTCAAAAAGTTTTCGGCGCTAGTTGAAATGATGTCTGGGCTAGTAAATGCTAGCTTCAGCATGCCCGAATGGCAAGCTGTAAAAGAATGATTTTCTTTGCAGCCTGGAAAGTGCCCTAAGAATCTTATCTCTGCCTCCCCTCCATGACAAAAAAAAGTAATAATAATAATAATGATAATGATAATTAAATAAGGGCAAATCAAACAAGATTTCACATTTAAAAAGACAGTACACTTATGCACTCATGGTGCTGCTCCAAAAAAAAAAAAAAAAATTTAAAAAAGTGGGTCTGTTCCTCAACTGGAGAGTGAGACCAAAGAAGTCAATTCTGTTGAAGTCTCTGAATATTCGTTTGGGAATTTTAGTCACAGGCTTTCTGAAAATAATCATGATTTAATTTTTTTTTCATCAGCATACAATCATTGTAATAATTTTCCTTTTCTCAGAGCTCCATAGAAGGTTAATGTCTGGATCAGTAAGGCTAGATACCATACCTGATAATTCCATACTCATCAAAGTAGCCACCCCTTCCATAAGTACCTATTGGTTCTTTAAAGGTTATTATAACACTTTTGATGCTTTCTCTACACCACACTGGACCAAAGATACGGTTCCCAAACCTGTTGAGACCAAAACAATACTTTATGAAAATACTGAACAGTTACTGAACAATATGTTTACGTATTAAAAAAATACCATGAATATATTCACAGGATTTTCATGGATTTTCATTTCAAACTGTAAATTTTCTCATGGTAGGTGGATACACAAACACACACAAAAGACTTCTTCCCGAGCTTCACCAGTTTCTGAAGCATGAAGTACTATAGAAGTACTGCTACTTCCACCCCACCCCCCACTGGATGGGACTACCCCCGAGGGAGATTCCCATATAAAATTGATGGGGATGCTCCTTGTCTCACTTAGGCGTAGAATTTGCAAATTTTGGTCTCCACTTAGGGTTTTACACTCAAGGAAGGACAGAAAGCCAATATTAAAAACGTATCGCTTTGGGTTGTGAGTAATAAAATATCTCTATAAAAAAAGTGCTGTGGGTTGAGATGGGTCTCCTTTAAAACCTGTACCATGCCCAGATTGGTTTTCTCTAGGGGTTTAATTCTAATTTTCCAGCAAGCGTCTCCATCATGTTTATATGGGACAGAACCCTCAGGGGTGGAAGGGAGTTTAGCTACACCCAGCAGTAAGTTGCTGGTACAGTCAACTCTGCAGACACCCTGATAATATGGACAGCAGCTAAGTCCCAGGCAAGAATAAAATTAATTACAGGCGTTTGACTGAAATAAACTCCCGCTATTACAGACTCTTGCTAATGAGGACTCTAACTCGCGGCCCTACAGTGTCCGCTATAAACAGAGTTGACTGTACCCATAGGAGAGACAAACACACCTGTACTGGTGCAGTGTAGTGGAGCAAACTGTCTTGTCTGAAGAAAAAACACCATGTCAGGGTTGTCCCTGGACAGACAGAACTAAGTTTTGTGTTAACCAGTTAGCCACCAAACAAAACTCAATTCAATCCCAACAAATTTCTTGGGCTAAATTTCAAATCTTTTTACCATGCATGCTACTTATAAGCGGGTGTGATGTGTAATGTCCTGGCCCCAGTTGTTCAAAAGGTGGATAGCGCTATCCGGTGGATAAATCTCTATCCAGTGGATAGTGCAATTAGTCTCCCCAATACTTATTCGCTGGATAGTGATTTATTCGATGGATAGCGCTATCCAACGTTTGAACAACCGGGGCCTGGAATCAAAAATCAAAAGTTAATAAATTATTGCCTGAACCCAAGCTTAACTTTGTAAAGCTGGATTCTTTTGATCAAAATTCCTTAGGTTTATATCAATAAATAATAATAACCTTAATAATGTTTTCTGCAAATAAATTAAAAAGCCAGCGTTGAGCCAAAACATAAGTCTCACCGTAACACCATCAGATTTTGCACCATTTCCTTGCCTAGGTAGTGATCAATACGGTACATTGAGTTTTCGGGAAACAGTGATGCCAGATGATTGGACAATTCTGCAGAGCTGTCCGAGTCTTTGCCAAATGGCTTCTCTATGACCACTCTGTTCCACCCCCTGAAAAGTAAGGATCCAAATAAAAATATCAGTGGTGCTCAAAGCTATGTATTTAAACAGAGATGCCAGACTTGTCTTTATCAATTCCCAGATCTTAATTAAAAAAATATATACAATACAAAACCTACAAATTAGGCCTATTCAAGGTGGGTTATTATACAGAATTAGCCATTGTATATTTAAATTTTAAAAAGTTATAGGAAAACTAGAAAATGAAGATTATAAACACAACAGCAGATCGATTTTTATATTTCGTGGTAACTTTTCTTTTTAATTGTCTTGATTTCTTAAAGCATTAAACAGACTATTTTTGTTGTGGAGTTCAAATGTGGCTGACTACACTGTATATCATCTAATTAAACACTTGCTGTAACTGGTGAAAGATACAGAAAAAATACTGGCAAAAACTCCTGGCATAAATTAATGTCAACAACCATCTGCCAGGATTTTAGAATAGCTTGCAGGTCTACCCTGCCAGAGTCAATTTTACTAGAAACGTTTGGTGACTTGTAGGGGAGAGACCAGTTGTATAACCAACCAGGATAACCCAGGAACTTTTGGCATATTTCCTTGAATATGCCTCCAATTCCTTCCCCCGCGCCCCCCTCTGCAAAAAAAAAATAATAATACCACTACAAGTTCTCCAAAAAGTTTTCATTCTTTTCTGATTTCAATCTTTTGTGTTTGCTATCAGGTTACGTACTTTGTCCCCATGCAATTGTTTTTGATATTCTCTGATGCATCTATGAATACAGATGGAGGAAGAGCAAGGTAGAACAGTCTGTTAACAACAGTCTTCCCTTCACCAAGCTTTTCAAGCTCTGCATTCAGTTTCTTATAACCTGATTCTTCATCGTAAGGACCTTTCACGTAATAGCAATTCTTGAAGAACTCATCTACCTTGGCCTTCTGATCATCCTTCAGCTGCAAAATAAAATGGTTCAACTTGTTGTTAATGATTAAATTTAAAACAGCCATGGCTTGTAGATAGAGTCACCTCATTGAAAGGGGTTGTTTTTGGAGACAGACATCTACATCCTGGTCTCAAAGATTCCATACTGAATGAGATGCCATTAAAAATTACTTATTTTATTAATCATTATCAATAATTAAAATTATTGATTAGTATTTATTACAGTAGTCATGATGTTCTAGATCATATAAATTTGTAAGGGTTTCTATTTTTCTTAATTACAGTTGTGGTATGTATTTTGAGTTCTGATGCGAATTTCACAGCAGCAAAACTGAAATCTCTTGTACAGTAGATATATAATTATAATATCCTTAGCTAGGAAATAAGTGTTTCGTGGTGCTGCTACATGTTGGCATTTTCTCTCTCCAACCTCCCTACACCACAAACAGGCCTCTACTGAGGAGAGAGTCTGTCAGCATATTATTACAACATCAATCAATCAGAGATCCTGGCCAGTTTCTGGATGGATTTACAAGATCAGCATGCAAGGAATTTTGGGGGAGCCAAAATGCAGACATGTGTCTCTTGCAAATGTCCTGTAGTAAGTGAAGGGGGGTGGGGAGTGGGAGGGGGGGAGAGACACGGTACAAAGAAAATCATTTTTACAGCTTGCCATTCGGGTAAGCTGAAGCTAGCATTTACTAGCCAAGACATTGTTTCAACTAACCCCAAAACCTTTTTGACTTTTTGTCCAGCAGAACTGATTTCACAGTTCTTCTGTTATTCGAATTCCTCAAAAACCATCACTTGCTTGTCAGGGAAGTTAAAAACAGAATTCACTAGCCCGATAGCAAAATTGAATAGGCGTGGGCTATCGGACACTATTTTCGTTGCATGCTGAGAGAAGAAATGGCTGTACTGCTATGCTAGATGATTCAAAAAGACTGAAATATATATACCCTTAAGTGGACTTATCTTATCACACATTGTTTTTACTTTTAACAAAAACACCTCAAGCTTCCCGTAAAATATCAACACACTATTATTTTCAAGATACTAAAAACTTCTATAAGGGCATCAAACTCAGCATCATTGGTGTACCTTCATAAAAGGCTCTGTCTTAGCTCTTAGCTTTGCAACTGTCAAATCTGACCGGGCATATCCAATAAACTTGGTGCCTTTAGGTATAAGGTCATCTTTGTACAAGTACCTGCAGGTGAATAAAAAAGGAAAGAAAGAATGAAAGAAAATAAATAACAAAAAAAAGGAAATATGTGCATGACAGACTCATCAGATCTTTTTGCACTAAAAAGTCACTGAGGCCCGGTTCAGACACCGCTCCACTCATGTGCCCAACCTAACTGAAGTATTAAGTACGGCAAAAGAGCAGCGTCTGAATCAGTTTGGTACGGCAGTCTTAATTTGGTGGGCAAAAACGTTAAGTTCGACAGGGTCTGTCCCATTATTTGACATTGGGGCGGCAGGTGATTCATACGGCGTTTTTCTCATGTGCCGAATCGAATGCATACATTATGATAATTTATAAATCTTCCCATAAGTCCCTTCTTTCTCCCTACATGAAATAAAGATTAGGTTCGACACACGGTGCGCCGTCTGAATCAGATGTTGCGCCAATGTCGCTCCAAAGTCGAACCAAACTCAGTAAGGTTCGGCACATGAGTGGAGCGGCGTCTGAACCGGGCCTGAGATGCGCATGCAGATGCTTTAAACATTATCAACCGTTTAAGCCCTGAGAGAGATCAGCATCAAATTTCTCCTTGTAATATCAATTGCTTTGTTAAACAGAGTGGTCATGAGAATTAGGGGCATGAACACACAAGACAAATTTGCTTGATATTCTATCAACTTCTCCCCACTACTTCTGTAGGAAATGAAAGGGGGCAACAAATGAGAATTCAGATTTTGATCATAGGGTTTAAAGGGTTAATATATGTACATTAGATGACCAAAGTCAGGATGGCTCTTAATGAAACCAAAACTCTTTAACACCCAACAGATCAGAAACCTTAAATGTGACTAATATTTTATCATGCACTACAATTCACTGCCATTTGAACATAAGTCAATTTATTGTGAAGAAACTTAGACTGCCATCCACTTTTGCATGTTTATACAAACTCCTCTTCCCACTTTTTTTAAGAATTTATTTACCAATATTGATATATATATGAAAATTATTTTCATTTAAGAATTAAAATCAGATTATCAACAAAAAATTTTTTTAGGTACACCAAATTACAATTTAGTCATACTATCCTTAGTATAGTAGGCATTTTCAGCTGTTATGCACAAGCGTTGTGTTACAACACAAAGCCTTGTACTTCAAACAAGTTCTTTTCTTCATAAATTGACTTTCTTGCAACAATTTTGCAACAACTTAATTAATGCATAACTTAACATACCATAAAGTTGGATAAATCTTTTTCTTTGCAAGATCTCCCTGCAAAACCAAAGTTAAAAAGTTAGTGGACAAGTACTTAATAAAGGATTGCAGCTACTGCAGGTAACTACAGTTGCACGCAAATATTGTACAAGTCAAACAATTTCAGCAAATATTATTGTAAGCAAATACAAAATAATGAAAACGCAAAAGGGAAATTTATTTCATATTGAAACCTTTAAGAGATATACGAGTGATGTTAATGTTCTTCAGAATAAATGGAAACTGAAAACTTAACAATCCTTCTGTCTGCTAACTTGTTCATGAACGTGAACAGTTCTTCCGTGCAAACAATGTTTGCTCGGCTGAACAGAGCTTCATAAAAGCAGGTAATAAGTAGCTAAGGGGAGAGCAAGACACTGAATTTGTGTCTCGATGTTGTCATAACAGTTTAGCGAAATACTTCACAAGATTTCAAAAGTCAGTAAAAGTACTAATCATCACTAGTAAATCGCGTGAGATACTGTCAAAGTTGTTACTTACAGAGGCGCCGAAAACAACAAGCAAATTTTGTTCGTCTGCGTTCTGTGGCATCCCTTCCGAACTCTGTTCTCCAACTGGAAAAAAATAATTAAAGAGGGCATACAAAATTAGATTTCTTGTTCTCCTTGATATCTAAGTACAATATTAACCAGATCAGCTTAAGTGTCTGCAAAAATAAGACGCTTTCGAAACATGCGCAAAAGTGCTACAAAGTCACGTGATGTTTGTTATGGCCCCGGGAAATTTACAATTCGCTGGAATCGCGATCGCTTTCCTCAAGATTTCGCTCACGCGTTCTATAAAAATCTACCACGTGCATTTTCCTGTCTTTCCCAGTGAAAGCTACCTACAGCTACAAATGGAAGAGATTTCTCAAGAGAAATCGATAGAAAAGTGCACAGACAAAACTGAATAAATCTCATTCATTGTTTCTTTGTTGGCTGATCTTATGAATATTGGCTTTCTTTTTATATTTTTTCCTGGTTGAAAATCAAACAAGTTATTAACAATGACAAAAACACATTACGAATCCAGCTTTTTCGTTGACAACTGATTCATGATTACTGCGGTTAGTAAATATCGGAATAAAATCTATTGATATACTTGCTTAAACAAAACAAATTCATTAGCTAGCAAGCCTCAGCGTAGTTATGATAAGGATTAAAAAACCACAGGAAATTGCTGAATCATCTGTTACGCATGCATCCTGCCCACAATCACAGCACACAACCAAAATCTGTCTTGATTTTATTTTTGAAGACGCAACAGCGACACTGAGGAAAGACAGAAAATTTTTAACAGTTGACTGGCTGTCATTTCGTGTCCCCCATGTACTTCTTACAATACACACGCGCACGGAAAGGTTGACTGAATTCAACAGTTTACCCTGAAAGACTTGTGACTTACTCAAACTTCTTCTTTGGTTATAGGGAATTCTAAAGTAAATCTAGAGTAAGCTTATACATTTTTAGAAGCCTGATGATGTATTTCTATACTGAGGTCACTGATTAGTTGGGCGCAATGTCATGCATCGCAGCAGAATGCAGCTTGATCGCTGATGATTCACCATCGCATCATCTTATATCAAAGCAGATTAAAGAAGTTAAATGACTTACTTATTGTCGAATAATGGCAGAATAGGATGTAAAGAAAAAGTTCAGTTAAGTTAAAAGTTAAGTTCTTTAAAGGCGAACTCGTAATTGACATGCTGTGAAAGATATTCGCATTAAGCATAAATTCAGCGAAAACAAACTCAAGTGCTGACCAATGTCACAGCTTTTAAACTTGACCTTACTTGAATTCAAGCGACAGAGTTCGAAGTTGTACTTCTTTGGCTTAGGTTTCGACTCCAGATTGAAATCCCAAATGTTTTTACGCGCGGCCATAGTTGTCTCGATGTCTTCACGGACCTTCGCGATGTTCCACACGCTCGAACCAACCGTTTCCCGGCAGACTTTGCAACCTCGTAAATGAATTCAAAATGGCGCCCATTTTTTAAAGGGTTTCAGCCCGTTTCAGCCCTATCCCGCCTCAAGCAGGTGGAAGACAAGGCCGACGGAGCTACTTCAAAAATTGCCGGGAGGGGGAGGGTGTATTAAGAATGTGACGTTAGGACCCTCCACATCCTGGATCCCTTAGTACAGGCTGGTGGTTGTATGGGCTCCAATATGCTCTGATCACTCCATACAAATCCAACTAACATTGGCCTGAATCGGATTTACCGTATTTATTCGATTAACCGCCCTGGGGCCCGTTTCTCGAAAGTCCCGATAATTAACGGGCCCGGTAAGCTGTCTCCGTTTACATTAAAAATCGAGGTTTCAATATTTAAAATATCGTTAATGAAACAAAATTAACCGCCCATTCTTTATATTTCGATTTGAATATTTGATTTCGGGCCCGAAAAGTTACCGGGACTTTCGAGAAACGGGCCCCTGGGCACTTATTAAATAGTGGGCGCTTATTCGAGGCTGGGCGCTTATTGAATTTTCACCATTTTCAACAAGTGTAGTATGTTTCTTTTGCAACAAAACAATCAACAGTAATAACAAAACGCAAAGATGTAACAAAACAAGGTTTCTGTAAAATACTCCGAAGAAAACTCTGCCTTTGGGAAAGACTCTTATTTGAACTTATTCAATTTCAATCTCATTGTCACTCTGCAAGTCAATGAGTGAATTCTCTGGTGCTGCTTCCTCGATGTCGGGCATCGTAACATCGGCAAATGGGTTAGTCGCCCGAAAAGCAGATACAGCTTATTTGCGTTTGAGTGGGAGGGGCAAGGGGTGGGGTTGAGTGGCGCTTATTAACTTTTTCTGCCTTTAGGATGAGCGCTAATTCGAAGTTGGGCACTTTTTCGAATAAATCCGGATGGAGTCCTCGGAAGCATAACGTTACTCATAACTCTTCACCAATTTGCACCAACAGGCTCATTTTTAGCAAATTTACATTTTTTATCGTGTTCTTTCTGGATATGCCAACCAATCCCATATTTTCACAAATTTAGTTTTTCTACCAACGTCATCACTTCTCTTGTTTATTAAACAACGCTTCTTTCTCGACTTTAAATATGGAATCGTTTTGTACGACAGACACAAAACTGCGATGATCATCCTTCATTTAATTCTTCACTCAAAGTTCACATAATATGATTTTCATACATTCATAACTTCAGACACAAAACAGTTAACCAAAAGGGACATAAAACGATTCATCAAGTGGCGTCAACGATAAAAATGCACAAAAAACTTTAGTGATTTTCATGAAACGAAATAAAGATTTTTATCATTATATTCACTTATTAAAAGAAATGATTTTTCGTCCTCATGCAAATAAAACTGATTTTCACAAGAAATGTTCTGCACTTGGCCTCACTTTAAAAGTGAGGGTTTTTGGAACTCGGAAGTGGCCTAGAGCGCTAGCACGTAAACTCGGATCCATGCTACTAACTTGCAACAACATCCGTCCAGACTGAGACATATAATAGACCAATCAGCAATCAGGCCAACATTTCGCGACGCCAACACTCGTTTCCCTGCGAAATGGCGTCTGAGAAAAGAGCGCAGAAATTCCATACTCGGTTGAGGGCGCTCGTTCATCAGACGCCACTTCGCGGGGAAACCAGTAGTGGTGTCGCGAAATGCCGGCTGTTTTCTCAGGCTACAACCATCAGCTTGACGATGTTTCAGGCAACTTCTTCAGGGCGTAATGTTGCTTTTGTTTTTTACAAAAATACATTTTCACGGTCAATGAGGATGAAAAAGGTGATTGAAACAGACAATCAAGATATCATCTTGAAATCTAGTCTGCTGCATATCCAACATCAAGTGGCCCTTCAGGTGAGTGGAGGTTCTCATCAACTAAAGTCACTATCGAAGTTATAGTCATCATCGCTGTCCATCATCGCTTCGGGACTGTTTGTCGCTGTCAATCAAAGAAAACAAAACATCAATAGAGAGAAGTAGAATGACATCATGTTACCATGGTAGCAAAATATCTAGATCACAACAATATGGAGCTAAAACAACGACGACGGCGACGACAACGAGAACGACAAAAAAGCAATAAGTTTAGAATAGCAAAACAACAACTTTGCACGTGCATCACGCTTTTTTGTACATTTTTTAGTCGTAGTTGCACGACTGCGATATGAAACTTACTAATTTCAGGCGCCCGCTTTATGGCGTAGGTGAGATACAAACATTCTTTATTTTTTCACCCCAGATAACTTCGCCAACTTTTGACAAATTAAAAGAAATTGAATAAGATCGATGAAGTTTGAAACAGTACAAAATCACTTTTTAAAAGACGTTTTCGGTTTGTTGTTATTCAGAAATTTTTCTTCCATGGCAACGTGATGTAACGACTTCTCCTGTGTATTGTCTCAGGAGAGTAGCCTGGGACCAGACTCTGCAGTTGGGGAAAAAAGTGAAAAAAAAAATTAATCGGCGAGCGAAGTGAACCGAGCAGTAGTCTGGGGAGGAGAAAGGGTGCCGCCGCCCTTTCCCCCTGCCCAGTCCACCGCTCAGCTCGCTTCGCTCGCCGATTCTTTTTGTGGCGTTTCACTCCGTTTTTTGCCATTTTTCCCCACAGCGGGGTCCCAGGCTACAGGAGAGGGAGGACCGCGTCCGAGCTTAGATTAAGCATCTATCGGTTTGCCGTTCACGTTTTCAAGAAAAAAATACATTAGCTCATTTGACGACATAGTTAGTTAGACGTGTAGGGCTGCTGTTTTGCTTACTAAATCAATTGCGTTTTTGACGACCTCATCACCATCGCTGTCGCCGTCGTCTTTGCCCAAGCTTTCTTTGTTTACGACTGACAAGTTAAATTTAATTGCCTCTGATAACAGTACGATTTTCTGATCAAAAAACTGATAAAAAAGAAAGACAAGAGTCTCACCTTGTTTCTTTCTTTCTTTTTGTTGCTTCTTAAATATCTACACAGAACAAAATAATAATTAAAAAATCAGTGTTTTCCACTCAATAGTGGTTATCAGATTCCTTAGTACTGGACCTATAAAACAAACGGCAAATCTTTCAACGATCGTTAGGCATACGCGTAGGCGAGATCAGTGGAAGTCAGTAAACTAACAAAAACAGAAATATGCACGAAACAGTAAAAGGATCACGTGCAGGACAGTGAACTCTCTTAAAAAGATTAAGGTAAAGATGACGGCTTCTTACTTTACGATAATCTCAACGCGGCCGTTTTTGTCTGGTCACGCAAGGCTGCTACTCTCCTTCTTGGGGAGGAGCGTTGCGTGACGAGCCAAAAACGGCCGCGTTGAGAAGCTCGACGTAGTCATCATCTGATTAACAAACCTGAGGCCGACGTGTGCGCTCATTTTACCCCCCCCCCCCCCCGCGTCTCTTCATCAATACTGCGTTTTACGGGTATTTTAAGCTAATAAAGCTACACGGATAGGAGAGAAGTTGAAAGAAGGATTTGAGGACACATCTGGGGATCGAGCCGGGGGCCTCTCGCACAGAAGGCCGCGCACTAACCACCTGTGTCGATCCTTGCTCCTACAGTCACGCAATTTACCTTTTTCCGTTCTTTGTTAGACTGCATGTTAAATTCGTTTACTTCGTTTGTCTTCAGTACATGATCAGCCTTGCCATGAAGTTGCGTGTCTTTTTTAGCCTCACCGATGGACTTTGAACTCTTAACAACGACTGTCATGCCATCGTCTTTAGCCTAAAGACAACGTGACAGTGTTTGAACGTCAATTTGGTATTGACATGAGAGAACATGTGTGCATGTGGATCAGTAAACAAAAAAGCAAAACAAACAAAGAAAACAAAACAAAGTATTAAAAGATAACTCCAAGTAACAAGCCTTCTTGATAAAAAGTGGAGTGAGGGTCAAGTTCCAGTTTTAGCCTACGCCCCGCCCCGTCCGTCGCAACTCCCATAGGATAGCGGATACCTCAGAGAGGCTCTCCTCACTGGCGAAAACACGCACACAAGCCTAAATTAGCACCAATGCGCGCACTTCCTAACATTCTCAGCGTGGCCCGGGAGAATACACGGCATACCAACAGACCTTGTTCCTCAGTTTAAAGAGCAGCCTGCTTGATTATTCAGCCAGTCCCAGTAAAGTTTAGCTCTCGGCACCCTCGATAGCAGTTCTCGCCCCACCCTACTCCCGCAGCGATGGAGCATACCTCGTATTCGCTCCTGGTCCACCGACTCGCAAAGCCCCGGGTCGACTCTCCCATATCTTATGCATTTAGGCACATTTGGCTTTGTGTGCAGGTGTTCTGGGTGAGAATATTTTACTGTTTCATCTTCCCCTTTACAGACTAACAGCTGAAATTTCCGATGGTTACAATCGCCTCCAGCCAAACATTTGACAACCGTCGCTTGTCGAGGTTGATAGAACTAAGCAGAAAGATTAATGTAGACAAAGAACAACATTACACAGTGACTGCATACCACAGTCAACTAGACTCAACGTGATCAGTGTTCATGTCTATACTACGATTCAATGCCACCGTTCCTTGAAACGGGCAGTCCATAGCGCCATCAGTCACGCATGGTTGTGTTCATGATAGCAGGCCATACCTGTTCACCATCGCTGTCTTCCATGGCTTCTTCCTCCTCAGATTCATCATCCTCGTCATCTTCATCAAAATCTTCGTCCTCATCTTCTTCTGCAGATTCCTTCGACAAAGAAAGGACGAAAGAAACACGAGTAATCTTACGTGCTCAGTACCATCTACATGGAGGATTTCCCCCAGCGAAAGTTGTTTGGGGCGGGTGACACGCCTAGCGCGGAATTGCCGCAAGCAAAGGGGACACGATTATGAATGAGTGATTTCTACTCTCCTCCTTGTGGTCTGCGAATACAGCCGACTCTCATCGCCCAATGCCACCGCAAACGGCGGACGAGAGGTAGGTGTATTTGTGGGCTATTGTCAGTCGGTGGTCTGCCGACTAAACAAACGCACTAGCTATACAGACTACGTACTTGCCAAAAAAAGTTACCTGTCACCTAGTTACCTATCTGAAATAACCCAGCTACATTTTCCCCTTCAACGCGATGCCAAATTTACCTCGCAAACAACTTTGTGTCAAGTATTTACGTGTTACGGTCAGTTGCCGTGTTAAACAGTGAAACTCATCCCCAATCCCCTGCCCCCCCCCCAACAGTTTCTATTGAAACTTTTCCTTTGCTCGCCCTGAGGTAGTTTGGATGGAGCGCGATAAAAATATGATAGAATTCCTAAGTGGATAGGGTATTTTTCTTTTGAGATACTGGGCTTTTGAGCTACTGGGAGTTTTCGCTTGTGATAAGCGGGTAATTTGTCGTAATTTGCTCTATGAGTCCAAGACAGAAAGAGACACTTAGCTACTTCCAGGGTAAATTCAAGGGTCAAAGGGTCTGCTGCCAGTAGTCATTTCAAGCCTGCTGGTCTTAGTGTAAACAATTTTCTGCTACTGCCATTCTTTTTTTTGACGGATTATCTTGCAGGTTTCTCTGATATCCTTACCATTTCGTCTTCCTCAATATCAGCTACATCCACAGGACAACCAGTTTCCAACACCATGGCATCCTCTACCGTGTTCCGCAGGCCTACCAAATATACGACGCAGATTAGTTTTCTACACTAACAAAGAGAGGGATGGTATTGGCACATTGATTAAACAATGATTAGATATACAGTGCGTAACAACAAATAACTTCAAATAAAGGTAAGGTAGCCTTAAAGGGCGATAGAAATGACCTTATATCGGTAACAGAATTACTGCTAACCCAGTGGTTTACCGATTGAGGCTAAAAAAATGAGAACAAAACATAAAAATAAAGCATGAGCACGGAGTTGAACCGTGGGACTACAGGGAACAAATCCAGCTGGCAGTCAAAGCGGAACTTGAATTCGGGGCCTCCCTGTTACAAGTCCGGCGCTCCATCTGCTCGGCCCACGCAGGCCCCTAAAAGTAACATTTGACGCGACTGGAATGCACTCGCGTAAGAACGTTCTTGCGTGGAAGGACAATAGCCAGGCAAGTAAGGCGCATGTTTACTCTATTCTCTTTCTCTACTGTTTATTAGTTGCTAATGACTTGCGGTGTATTGTCTAGTCTGCGTAGCAAGCGTTTCCAATCGAGTTATTGCGCGAAAGTTAGAGCGGAAGCAAAAAAAAAGGTTGAAGGGGGAGGGGGAGGGGAGAAGAGGAAACACTTGCCCGCAAACCCCACGATTCTGGAAAACGCCCCTTGACATTTCACGGCACGGTTCATTTGTAAATTGACAGCTCGTCAAAATAGAAACATAAGGAACACATTACCAGATTTGTAAAATTACTTTGTTCTCTAATAGAACACGTTGCAGGCGATTGCAAGAACTGTAATAAAAAAGATTTGCGATAAAAGAAAGTTAAAACTATGAGCGATTGCTGCGGAATTTCTTGTTTTTGACTGTGTGGCTTTATCTCGTCTGAAACCTTGTCGACACGTCAAAAATGATTTGTCCGGAACAATTCACTCCGCCGG